TTTGGGTTCCAGGAGATAGTGATGAATATGACAGGTAGGTGTGGCCTTCATGGGGCTCACCAGTGGAGAAGGGCCTTTAACTAACTTAACACACAAATCTACAACAAAATAGCATCAAGTTGGGAAAGGGGCCGTGCAGTGATGCAGCAACGGGGAGAGCACAATGGGTAGAGGAAGGCTGCGCCAGAGAGATGCTTGGGGAAGGTGTCCCTGAGGGGGTGATAATGGACATTATTGCCTACGATAATGAAAACCTATAGAAATTTTTTTATTTTTCGTTTTCCCCTTAGGCATACAAAGTCTCCTCCTCCACCCCCCCCCCCCCATGGAGGGGGCAGATCATTCTGAATGTGCAAGTGTGTCTGCACATGTTACAAAGACAACTACCATGTTAATGAAATATTCAATTTGAAACCCTTAAAAAAAAAAAAAAAAAGGAGGCCTGAGGGCACAAGGAGGCCAGTCACAGGGGAAGACAAGAGAGGGAACAAGCACTGGGCCCTATAGGTGCAGAGGAGGGAAACATGTGGAGGGTACGAAGAATCATCCGAAATGCCTAGAACCTGGGGGAGCCGGGCTCGCGTGCAGCAGGAGATTGTGTCTTTCCCGAAGGCCCCTGAAGGTCAAGGCAAAGAGCTGGGAATTTATTCAAGGTGACAAGGAAGCCACTGAAGGACAGTAAGTGAAGAAGGAGGTGATTCAATTCCCACTGCTATCTGAAGAACAGATGGAAGGAACACATGGATGGTAACATAATCATTAGGACGCTATTTCAAATGACAAAACAAGAAGGGATATGGCAGTCGTGGAAGCAATCAGTCAACTAGAGTTGGCTTTCAGAAATGAAAACGATTGAGCTTGCTGATGTGAGGAGGGGGCTGAACTCCGGATTGAGACACAGCACTAAGGATAAAGGGGAACACAGGATGTAACAACCCGTGTTTCTGCTTTGAGCAAACAGCAGCATTTACAGAGGTGGAGAAACCAAAGGACAAGCAGATGGCTGTGGGGAATCACAAGTTTGGTTTTGGCTACACCTGTAATATAAACAAATGGTGACATCAGGTAGATAGTGAGTGCTCAGAGAAAGACCTCAGCTGATAACATAAAATTTGGAGTCATCACATATAGACAGTGTCTAAGGCCATGGCTATGAATGGGAACACTTAGGGAGTGAGTGTAGAGAGAAGAAAAGTGGGTTGGAGACCAAGCCCGTACTGAAGCTGCCAAGAAGCCTGGGAGATGAGGAGAGCAAAGAATTCTTCTGACTTGCCAATGCAGGCCTCTTCAGTGACAGGTGTATGGTGGGCACGGGAACCAGAATGGCATGTGCTAAAGAATTAATGGGAAGTGAAATGCAGATAATCCTTGTAAGATTTTGCTATGAAGGGAAACTAAAGGATTGTGATAGCCCTGGCTCAGTTGGTTGGAATGTCAGCCTGTACACCGAAAGGTGGCGGGTTTGGTTCCTGGTTAGGGCACATACCCAGGTTGCGGGCCCCAGACACATGTGGGAGGCAACCAACTGATGTTTCTCTCTCGCATTGATGTTTCTCTCTCTCTCCTTCTCTTCCTCCCTCCTGTTTTCTCTCTCTCTGAAAGTAATAAAATAAAATACAAAGAATTGGGATAGTGGCTGGGCATCATGAGGTCAAGGGGCTTTAAAAAGCATTTAAGTTAGGAGATACTAAAGTATGTTTGCACAAAGATGGAAATGATCCAATAGAGAGAGACAACAGCAGAAATTAATGCAGGAGAGAGACAGCTGAGGGAGAGAAGTCTTTGAGCTGAGATGGTGTATGAGTTTCCATGCCAGCTCTAACAAACTACCACCAACTGTGGGACTTGAAACATTCATTTATTCTCTTCCAGTTCTGGAGGTCAGAAGTTCAAATACTAGTTTCACTGGACTACAGTCAAATTGTCAGTAGGGCCAAAAGCCCCTCTGGAGGCTCTAGGGAAGAATCTTTCTTCGCTTTTTCCAGCTTCCGAGTTGCATTCCCTGGTTCATGGTCCCTTCCTCTGTCTTCAGTAAGCAGTGAAGCATCTTCAAACCTCTCTGCTCTGGTCACACTGTCTGCTCATCACAGTCAAATTTCCTCAGCCTCTTTATTATGAGGATGCTCAAGATTACACTTAGGGCCTATCCAGGTACCCAGGATAATCTCCCCACCTCAAGACAGTTCCTCTTTAATGACCCTCAAAGTCTCCTTTGTCTTGTAAAGTCACACTCAGAGGTTCCAGGGACTAGGACCTGGAATGGCTCTAAAACACCTCTGGAGGACTGGCCTCGCTAGGAGGAGGATAATTTCTATCTGTGTAACCAGAGGAAGAGGGGGAAGCGGCTCCTGCGGGGCTGTCCAGATTTGGTGGTGAAAGGATGAGGGAGGACATGCTTTTTGGCTTCAGTTTCTGAGAGAATTATGAGGTCATGTTGACAGCTGAGAGGGATGGTGACTGAAGGAGGGTGGAGAGGGGATTGCATACAGTGGAAAAACTAACTTTTAGGCTTTTCAGCATCACTGCAGGAGAGGATGGCAAGGTGGTCAGTAGAAAGATGGGATATAATTTGATCAGGAGGCAAGGGATGGTGAGGAGACAGTGAGATGGTGGGATTGGGAGCTTACAGGTCATGATGAGGGGATTGTGAGCAAAGTGAACTGTAAATGCAAGAGGTGTTGGGCAGAGTTGGATGCCTTTGGATTTGGGAGACAGTGCAGATTCTGGTGATGCCAAGTTGTAGGGTTTCCGTTTTTGGAGGAAGTCCCTGAAGGACAAACAGATGACCATCCACCTAGAGGTTGGAGATACCAGGAATGAAGACGGGAAAGGGGTGGCCCGGAAGCAAAGTCTTCAGTGAATGGGGTGCCGGTGGGGGGAGTGACCAGGAAGAAGTTAGATGATGAATGAAGAGAGATGACAGGAAGCAGCAGAGCAGTAAATGCCACACCTAATGGCATCAATTGCCGGAAACCAATCATTGTCTCACTAATAGAAAGAGGCTGGTCAACCTTGAAGCTCTGAAAGGTCAGAGCCAACCACACCCTATCTAATTGAGACAATAATAACTGAGGCAACTTCCCCATCTTGTAGTAATCATGTAAATCCTTACTGATATGATAATCCGCTTATTACCTGCCTAAGGGCTATGGGTGTTTCCCATAGTAGCCTCAATAAAAGGGATAGCAAGGCCAGAGCCTACAGTCTTCCCACTAGAGGTTGATTCCTGCCTGGCCCCCCATTAGTCCCAAATTAACTCTTTTCTAGTCTCTCTCTTCATTTTAGTGTGTGGCCTCCTCCAGAAACCGGACCCTGAGTGGGCCCTAATCACGCGGGTCGTGTTAAGGGTTCCCACAATCAATTACATGGGAGCTGGGGGTTGGCCAGCAGAAGGTGAGGAACTGGTTTGGGAGGAGCAGTGGGGAGGAGGAAAGCTACCTTCTGCATTTCCTGGCTCTGAGGCAGTGATCAGCTAACTCATTAGTCACCAGAGCAGCAAACCGTGGCTCTCTGAGAGGGCTCCAGTTTCTATATTTGTACTAAGAAGTGGTTGCAATAAGAATGTGTGCTAATCTTTTGTTGGAATTTCCCAACATCACAATGGAAGGGTTTGGGAAGTATGAGATTTGCAGGAGGACAGAGATGAGAGTCTGGCAATAGGTTATGGGAAAGGATCCCTGGATGTGTAATAGTGAGTTTTATGAGGACACCACGCAGGTGGAATCACATCACAGAGGGCCTTGAGAATGTGCTTTACCTTGAGGCTGGGGTGTTGAGCAGCAAACTGTCATGGTCAAAGGCAGGCTTTAGGAAAATCAATCCTGAAGAAAAGAGGTCCTTCCTTAGAAAGCTATTACAACAGGCCAGTATTAAGGGTTCAGGGTATAAATTCTGAGAATAGTGGAAGATAGCTCTAAGAAATGTGCTTGGTTTCAATTAGAGCAAAGGGAAATGAGAGATCGAGTGGGGAATGGTTCTCATGTTTCAGCTTCAGTGGGGAGAATAGGTTTTGAATGTAAATTAATGGTTTTGGTATTCCGTAAATCCTGGCTAAAGGTTCAGCCACTGCTGGAGCCCTGTCATGACAGGTGAATTGGTGGGCTCTTCCCCTGATGCCAGGCCTGGAGTCCCCGCCTCCAATTTCCCAGAATGAGGATAACCAAGGACCAAGCAGGACCCAGGATGCTAACCATGGATGGTCCCTCATTTAGTTTCGGATCCTCAGGGCACGATCTGAAGCTTCCATTGCCATAAGCAATAGGGCTGTGTGCAGTGTGAATTGTGAGGTGCCCAAGTCCAGGGGATACCTTTCAGCCATCCACAGGGGCAGATTCAGCAGGAGGAGGGATGTTGTCATTCATCTTTCTAACTCTCATGCACCATGACTTAGGGCACAGTCAGACACACCAGCTAGTCTTGTAAGGAGGCCTGCAGGACTTGTCTACAAGAGGCTTCTCTGAGTTTCTCCCCCTATTCTCCCCCAAGTTAAGACAGGGCAGGGATAACAGGCAAGGGTTCCATCACACCTTTGAGCTCAGACTCAGAATCACAGTTGATGTCTCGCCAAGAATTTGACTCATCCAGGTGCACACCCCACCCACTTTTGCTCAATTTTCTACATTCTGCTGACAGCCATCTCTTTTCTTCCCTTTGCCCAAAAGGCCGGGTATCTGTATGCCAAGATTACCCGAGGCTGACATTCCCTCTGTGGCGTTCCTGCCTGGTCTCCGCCCCTCCAACACTCACCCTTGCTCTGAGCTCAGCGGGCACTGCTTGGGTTTGGGGAAGCACAGGGGCCCGGTGGGACTACCCCGAACTCCCGCCCCGCTCTCCGGCGCCGCGGGCGCGCGCACTCAGCCGGGCCGGGCGCGGGCGCCGAGCGGGGCGGGCGGGGCGGGGCGAGGAGGGGGCGCGGCCTCGGGGGGCGGCGCGGGGCGGGCGGCCGCGGGGGCGCCGCGGAAGGGACCGGCCGCCGGTAGGAACGCGCCAGCCCCGCCGCGATGCCCGCGCGCCCCGGACGCCTCCTCCCCGCGCGGCCCCGGCTGCTGGCGCCGGCCGCGCTGCTGCTGCTGCTACTCGGCCCCGGCGGGCGCGGGCGCTGGGGCGCGGGGGCCCAGGTGCCGGGCGCGGCGGCGCAGGAGCCCCTCCCGGCGTTCGGCGGGGAGCCGGAGGACCCGCACACCAAGCACCTGTACACGGGCGACATGTTCACGCACGGGATCCGGAGCGCCGCGCACTTCGTCATGTTCTTCGCGCCCTGGTAACTGCACGCGCCGTCCCCTCGGGCCCCGCCGGCGCGGGCCGGGCCCCCCAGCCCCGCAGAATGCGCCCCCGGAGCGGCGCCGGGCCGGGGCCTGGGGTGTGGGTCCCCGCGGGCCGCGGGGCTGGCCGGGGCGCTCGCGGCTGACGTGGCGCCGAGCGGCCGGGGCGGAGCAGGAGGGGGCGGTCCCGACCCAGGAGCCGGAATGGGCCGTCTCTTCCTCCCCTAGGCCCCCTCCCCGAGTCCACGCATCCGACCAGGGGAAGGGCGCTTGCGGGGCTCGGGCTGCTGGAAACCTAGGGGCCCCCCTCGGTCCCCTCCCCAAACTTGTGCGCGGCCGGAGGCCTGGCTGAGCGGCGGGGCCGGGCCGCGTGCAGCAGCCAGTGGGGACCGGGGTCCTGCCGCGGGGTCTGTGCTCACCGCCTGCCTGAGGGTTTAGGTGGAGAGGAGGAACTCACAGAGGTGTGAATTCCCACTCTGGAAGGGTGGCCCAGGCGGAAGAGGGGATCCGCGCGAGTAGTGCGAATTCTGGGGCCGCGCCCGCAGCTCCAGTGGACGGGGCTGCGCTCTTGGGGGCCGGAGCCCTTGGCCCTGAGCTCCCGGCTGGCTCCTGGCCCCTCCTCCCCTCCGCTCTCCCGGGCCTGCTCCTCTAGAAAGTGTGAGATGGCAGAACTCACCACGCGGAGAAAGGACGGCACCTCCTGCTGTGGTTCTGGGTATGGCTAACCTCAGAGACCCCTACCCTGAGAATTGTCCTAGGAGGACTTGCTGTCATTCACACCGGCACAGGTGGTGGTTTTCTTCCTAGGTGCTTCCGAGGTGAGCAGAAAGCTAGTGTTTGGGCTCAAGGCAGTTTGCAGGCTCATTGCAGAACTTGACCTCCTTCCCCACTGTGGGGGAGAAGCCCGTTGAGATGTGGGAAAGGGATGGAGAAGGAACAAAGAGAAGATGCCTAAGAAAAACAGCCTATTCAGAAAACGTGCTGGCAGAAGATGGAGGAACTTTTCCCCCTTTCTCCCCATATTCAAGTTGTTACTGGATTGTATTCAGTTTATTTGGAGTTAAATCAACTTTCAGGGGCGGGTTTGAGTCACAGCTATCATGTATTAACAATGTTTCAAGTTCTCAAGAACCAACTGACTTGGATTTTTATTTATTTTTTTAATATATTTTACTGATTTTTCACAGAGAGGGAGAGGGATAGAGAGCTAGAAACGTCGATGAGAAACAGGCCAGTTGCCTCTTGCACACCCCCTACTGGAGATATGCCCACAACCAATGTACATGCCCTTGACCAGAATCGAACCTGAGACCTTTCAGTCCACAGACCGACGCTCTATCCACTGAGCCAAACCGGTTTCAGCTGACTTGGATTTTTAGAACCTGATATAGAAAAAGTGGTATAGGAAAGTACATAAAATAATTATTTTTATGTACTTTTCTATACATAAAAAGTACACTGGTATAGAAAAGTACGTAAGATAATTATTCAGTATTAATAGTTACTTTGGGAAGGAATATTCTTAGAGTAACTATTTCAATTATGTACAGTACTTAATTGGAGCTAATTCCAATGGAATAAATCTGTTTTTGTATTTTCTCTTTATTTTTAGAAGAAAAAAATGGCATGTAGACATAATAAATCCATGCATGGAATGGAGTGTTAATTTTGGAGAATCTGTAATACCAGCTAGTTCTGGACTGAGTGAGGGAGAAGACTGGGAAATTTGAGCTCTTGGTATTAAGTAAATTCTTTTTTCATTGTATGTGGTTTATTTAGGTGGATGCCCCCAGAAAAGTAACTTAAAGTTTTTATTTTGCTTCTAAATAGTCTACTATGAAATATTTAAACAGATATGTGGGGGTTTTCTATGATGACATTTAAAAGTTACACTTTAACAGCAGATTGGAACTCAGAATATGCAGTGGGTTCCCCCCGAGCTCCCATGTCATTTCGGTTTCAGTTTCTGTGAGATACTGGAAGCCCACATGTGGTTTGAGATCAGGGGTACCATGCAATGAAAACGCGCCCTTGTATTTTTGCCCTGAATTTGACAGATGTAGGGTGGTCCCGCTGAGGGTTTTGTGCCAGTATCTTCTCTAGGACTAGTTTGCAGGTCACACTAACCCTGGTGGTGACAGTGAGGTGAAGGTTGGGGCCACCTCCTTGGCAGGACCAGGTAGCTTTGCTCTGCGCCATGGCCAAACACTCCTTCTGAATGCAGTGCTGTCTCAGATTCACACTGCAGCCAGAAGGTCCCAGACCAGAAGTGCTAACTACATGGCACCTGTGGATCTATCCCTGAGAAGTTACGTATACCACAAGCATGTGCTGGATGCAGGGAACACAGTTGTGAAAAGATAATGCTGTCGTCTTGGCCCTTTTACCACATATACATAGATATTACACTGGTTTTCCCCCACAATTATATTTCAGAAAAGAGGGAGTCATATTGTTTTGGAATATCATAGAAAGCAGGGATTCTCTTAGCTTCCCAAGAAAGTGCTGATTAGGGAAGATACATTGGTTTAAAGCAAACTTTTTTTTGTGCTACTTTTAGATGTGTATTATAGAGATATCTGTCAGAGAAGAAATTATTTAATTGAGAAATTACTTTGAGGATAAGCAAGCATCCTCAAAGCATTAAAGGTCACTTTAGAAAGCAGCACAGCAAGCAGTTCCATTGTAGACACCATGCAAACACACTTAGCAGGTGAATGGGGAAAAGTACCCATGTGCCATAATGATACATGACTGCTTGAAGCTTGATACAAAGTTTCTAGAATTCAATCATGGCAACCGCAGACAGCAGACGATAAAGAAGATCAACTATAATATATGACAATAGATTTAGTTGATGGGAAAGATGCTGATGCTGGTTAGAAGTGTAAAGAACAGCACGAACCAATAATTCCAAGTTAACATTAATTTAAATGATCGGCAATTTAAAAATATCTCTGTGTAGTTAAACTCATACAATGACCATTATAAGCATACATTGGGTTATATCAAATTTAGAAGTGTGAGTGGACACAAACTTTTTTAAAGCTTCTCATTGGAGAGTGTGCAAAATTGATTTAATTTTGGGGTAGCCTTGCATTTGTAGATATTGGGTATATAGTAGAGGAGACCTGACTAAATAATAAAGAGGCAATTATAGCGAAAAGTGCTAGGCTGCATCAGTAGAGAAAGAGAAGAGAATGGGCACCGAATAGCCTGAGAAGGGACACCTAAACCAAACCTGAAGGGCAAACAGCAGTTAGCTAGGAGGGCTTAGGGAGGAGGCACCAGAGTGCGTGTAGTGACGCAGCTCTGGCCCTTTCAGAAGGCTGCAGGTCCTGCAGTGGAGGCCGGGGGGGGGGGGGGGGGCTGCAGGGGCAGGAGGCAGCTGGGGCACCGGGGTGAAGGGGGAGCCTGCAGGGGCACCTCGGGGAGGACCTAGCAGTCAGTACCTTGCTAACTTTGGATGTCATGGTAAGAACACTGCAGGGACTTTCAGATGGGTGGGTTGTAAGCAGGGGAGTGAGGTTTTGCACTGATGTGAGCTAACCCATCTCTGCTGTGGTGTAAGGAAGGGGTCAGAGAGCCCCATTGCCTGTGGAAATGGCTGAAAGGGGGCAGGGGTTGGGCATCCTCTGACCCAGCACTCAGTATACTTGTTACTCTCACCTTGATATAGGTGCGGACACTGCCAGCGGCTGCAGCCTACTTGGAATGAACTGGGAGACAAGTACAACAACATGGAAGATGCCAAAATCTACGTGGCTAAAGTGGACTGCACGGCCAGCTCAGACGTGTGCTCCGAACAGGGGGTGCGAGGATACCCCACGTAAGTAGGGAGGGCGCGTGCTTCCGTATCTTCCAGGTTTTCCACATCTTCTGGCCAGCTGCCTTTGGCCAAAGAAAGCCCAACTCACATTTTGGTACCTTCCTTTGTAGTTCTGAGGCGTGAGGGGCTGCTGAATTTAAGCAGGCCGTCCCAATTGTTAAGAAAGATTATATTTAACACCAGGTCTATACTAGGTGTCTTTTTGTACCTTCTATGGAAAAAACCTGTCATTAATCAGTGTTGGGTTTTCCTGTTTATAGGAACATGTGTTTTCAAGGTAAAAATGATGGTCTCTATGAGGTCCTGTCAGGTTGGATGTTCACGAGGACATTACACAATTGAGTACAGATTTTGTCATTAATTCAGTATTGATTTTTTTTCTTTTCTTTTTTAATATATTTTATTGATTTTTTTACAGGGAGGAAGGGAGAGAGATAGAAAGTTAGAAGCGTCGATGAGAGAGAACATCAACCAGCTGCCTCTTGCACACCCCCTACCGGGGACGTGCCCGCAACCAACGTACATGCCCCTGACCGGAATCGAACCTGGGACATTTCAGTCCGTAGACTGACGCTCTACCACTGAACCAAACCAGTTTCGGCTCAGTATTGATTTTTGATCAGTCTGTTATTCCTAAGCATCTTCCTAGAATAATTCCCATGTGACTAGTACAAGGCTATTTCTTTTGGACAGAAAGGTAACAAATTGGGATACAGTGGTTCTGACAAGTAACATGACTTCCTTCCATGACAGTTAAAAGGGTTTTTGGTTTTAAGACATAGAAATGGAAACTGACTTAATAAACAAAGAAAGCTGTGAGGGAAGCTCTGAAACTCAGCTGCAGAGATTTGGGGGCCTGTTTTTATGGGTCTCCCTTAAGATGCCTTTACCTTCTGGCTCTGGCTCTCATGCCAGGGTGGACTTGGGTCACTACTCACTGGCCCAGCATGGACGGGTGTTCATTCGGGAACAGAGCGGCCAGATCTCATAGGAAAACAGCCGCCCGGCGCAGGAGAGCCTTGTCCAAAAGAGGGAGGGCGGCGGAGGGGTTGGCTACTGCAGCCACATTAATACTTGTTCACATTGATAAACTAAGGAAAGTCTATCTAAAACCTGAGCTTACCTCCCAACCTAGGAGTCAGGATGGAAAAGCGGAAGGAACTCTGGGCTGGAACCCAGAGGCCGGGGTTGAATCCCAGCCCCACCATCTAGTTTCCGTGTAACTCTGGCCACACGGGTTGACTTCTGAGTCTAAAGTAGGACACTGAGACTCACCCCACCCCCCTGGACATGGTTATGAAACAGAATGTGTGCAAACACCACTCTGAGCATACCCAGCAAATGTTAGGTTTTCCCTGACATTTGGAAATTTGGCATTTCCACATAGGACTCTGGAATTCTTGGTCTTTGGTGAATGCTTGCTAATCTACATGTCATAGTTAAAGTCTGCACCAATTCAGGTCACATAGAGATAAAATTTCCCACCATGTGTCGCTTTCCTAAAGGCACCAGTGTCCTGGCATCATCGCATTGCCTTTAAAGTAAACTCTGCTTGGATGGAGTGTCCCAAAGAAGCCGTCACTGAGTCGTAGGAGCAGGAGAGGAGATAGCTTCTCACCTATTGAGAGCCTGTGACCTCAAAGTGCAGGGGCCGCAGCGAGGGTTGACTGTGGTGGCCACTCTGAAACAGCTGGCCCACTGTGTGCACCACCAGCCCTGCCAGAGGGAAGGCAGAACAACAGGAGCTGTCAGAGGGCTGAGGGCGCACGGTAGGGGCAGCAGAGAGGGGAGGAGAGGTTCCACCTGGACTTGACTATATGAGTTGTCTGGCTGCAACTCCATAGACGTTCTTCGTAGATTTTAAAAGATCCTTGTTGGGTCATGTGTCCTGATTTTCATTAAGAAGACTAGAGGCCCGTTGCACAAAGAGATCCGTGCAATAGGCCTTTCTTCCCTTGGCTTCCAGCACCAATTTTCCTCCGGCATCTGGGACCCAGGCCTTTGCTCCGGCCGGAGTCTGCCATGTTCCCTACAGACTGCCATCTTTGTCTTGGCTGTGGGGGAGTGCCGCTCCTATAGATCCCTTCGCGCCCCCCCCCCCTCCCACCCTCCCTTTCATAGCAGGCGCCTGGAGAGCTGGGAAGCTGCCATCTTTGTCCTAATTTGCATATTTACTCCTGATTGGCTGGTGGGCATAGCGGAGGTATGGTCAATTTACATGTTTTTCTATTATAAGGTCTCCCAAATAAAACATTGGCTTTGTGTTTGAAAACAAAGTAAAGTGAGCTTACACTATGCTGGATGTGATTTGGGAAGGACCCTGCATTCCCATGACACACAGGTGCCTGAGGAAAGATTTGTTTCATTGAAGGCAGGAGGCGGATGTGCTGAATAAAATGTAGTCACAGGAGGGTGTTCATAGGTTACCTGTTGAGCTTTTACTTGCAAGGCCTGAATTGAGTAGCGGATGTCAACGCCTGAGCATGGGGTGTGTGTGTCGCTATATCTGCCTTTGTGTCATTCTTCCTGGCCCCTGTAACTGGAGACGAGGATTGGAGAGGGAGGCATTGAGTTTCCGTGCCCCTGCAGGTGGCTGACTGCTCAGGAAAGTGCTGAGGTCCTCCTGTGGAGCCAGAAAATAACCTCCGTCCTCTGGGAGAACGTGAGCAGGGGCAGGGCTAAAAGAGGCTCGTAGGGCTGCCATAAGAGCACACAAACTGCTGGTTGAAAAGAATAGACATTTATTCTTAGTGCTGGAGGCCAGCAGCTCAAAATCAAGGCATCAGCAGGGCCATGCTCCCTCGCAACCTGTCAGGAAAGCCTCCTTGCCTCTTCCCTGCTTCTGAGGGTTTGCTAGCAATCTTCAGTGTTGCTTGGGGTGTAGATGCACCCCTCCGGTCCTCCATCTTCATGTGGCCTTCTCTCCATGTGTCCAAATTTCTCCTTCTCATAAGCACACAGTCATAGTAAATGAGAGCGCACCCTATTAACCTCAGTTTAACTCACCTCCGTAAATAATATACTCTTTCTGCATAGGCCACATTCTCAGGTACATGGTCAGGACGGCAGCAGAGCTGATTTGGGAGACACAGTTTGGTCCATAGCACTGTCTCATTGCTTGTAGCAGAACTTTCGTCACATTGTTTTCCACAGTGACCCATACGTTTGCTCCCAGGAGGTCTCCTTGAAAAAGAAATAGATGACCAAAAACTCCCAGATGCCAGCAGAATAGTTTGGCCTTGTATCCTGCAGCTCTCTCTCCCTCCACAGTGAGAATTGAAGTCAGACCGGAAAGCCTGTAGAGGAAGCTCTAATTTTATTTCTAGGGTCTGTGAACTTCAGGAAGAATCTCAGACGTGGGCAGGCAGAGAAGTTTTCAGTCCAGGAAAAAGAGATTTTTAAAAAATTTTGTTTTGTTTTTGCTCAAAGCACACCATGTTGGAAAAATAGCACAGGTTGGGTTTTACTGATTTTTAAAGTTAGCAAAGAAATGGGGAATGAGTTTGACAACGCCTTTCCGATATTTGAGGATCCTGAAGCTCTTTGGAGAGAGCAGGTAGAGAGGACAGTAGCATCTTCTAGTTCTCTGGGCCAAGCACGTTTCCAGAGCTTTATACGGTCCCAGGGGTGGGTCTGGGCATTCTTCTTCTTTTAAAATTATTTATTGTTTAAAGTATTACATGTATTACATATGTCTCCTTTTTTTCCCCATTGGCCACCCCCAGCTCATGCCCTCACCCCTCTAGTGTCATTGGTTATGCTTATATGCATAAAAGTCTTTTGGTTGATCTCTTACCTCCCCATTCTCATCCTCCCCTATCTTCGCTCTGAAGATTGACAGACTGTTCGATGTTTCAGTGTCTCTGGATGTACTTTTGTTCATCAGTTTATGTTGTTCATTATATTCCACAAATGAGTGAGATTATTGAGTGATATTTATCTTTCTCTGACTGGCTTATTTTGCTTGGCATAATGCTCTCCAGGTCCATCCATGCTATTGCAAATGATAAGAGTTCTTTCCTTTTTCTTTTAAATATTTTTTTAAAATTGATTTCAGAGAGGAAGGGAGAGGGAGAGAGAGAGAAACATCAGTGATGAGAGAAAATCATTGATCTGCTACCTTGTGCATGCATGTGCCATTGGCTGGAATTGAACCCGGGACCCTTCAGTCCGCAGGTCGACACTCTATCCATGGAGCCAAACTGACTAGGGCTAAGAGTTCTTTATTTTTTACAGCAGCGTATTCTTAATTGTGAAATCATACTTTGGAGTTGCTTACAATATTAAACTTCAGGAAGTCAGGCATTCTTGCCAAATCTAGTTAGCTTTTGGCTTTTTGTTACGGTTGTAAAAGTGTAGGCTGCTGAGGAAGTGGCATGAATATTCTTTGTTGGAGGCACATTAGGAAAGTTACCTAATAAGCCCATCGCAGGATCTTGCTTCTGGGTGAGGCCAGTAAGCCTGTGTAATGCAAAGACCTTCTGCAGCCAATGTGTGGTTTTCTGGTGTAGCTGTGAGACTTCATTTTAAGTCATGTGGGGAGTTAGCTAATCAAACCCTCAGTTCTGATTGCGGCACATTTACATTCTGACACTGAATTTTGGGCATCTGCCAGCAGACTCCAGGTGCATGCTGTAGATTGTAAGGGGTGTTTCAGATGAGCGGGGTTGCCAAAAAAAGCCTGTCTGTGTGTTTTTCTGTCAGTAGCCACATTTCCCCCTCTGTCCTTGACATCTTCTACTAATTCTGTCAATAGAAGAATTAATCCTGCCCCCTGTTCCTTGACACCTTCTACCAAGTTTTATCACGAGCATGTTTTTACGTGACGGGTGGCGTGATACAGGGTCTGGAAACATTAACTTGAGCCTCTGATGATGTCTTTTGCTCACCTCTAAAGGAATGCTAAATACTCTGCAGATCTCTTCAGGGGCTAATATGTGTAGAAAAAGAAAAGATTCCTTCTCTGTGGGGAAGTGAGTAACCTTTAGCCATTGTCAAGGTTCTTCTTATACCTGGATGCTCGTGCTTTGTAAGTCAAGGAGCTGTCATGGCAGCCTGGAAATACAGTGTTGTTTCTATCACAGTTCTCATTTAAAAAATAAAAAAGCGGGACACAAACTACTAAAGCTGGGAAGGAGGACAGACCCCTGGCAGGGAAAGCTTGAGAGTTCTGCACATGTGAACAGCTGCAGCCTGGGGTGTAATGCACAACTTTGGGCTTGGATGTGTCCACCTTGGCTTTATTTTTCTTGAATAAAATATAAAACTTTAAAGACTATAAGATTAAATAAATATATCATTATTATTATTATTATTATTGCAATTTTCATCAGAGAGTGGCAGATACTGCCTGGCTGCAACCCACTGGTCACTCACTCCCTGGATGCCTCACTAAACCAGCTTGCTCCCTGATATGATGGTGCTCTTTGCTCCAAGCAGTTTGGAGCGCTTTAAAAATCTGCTCTGCGTTGGTCTGCGGACTGAAAGGTCCCAGGTTCAATTCTGGTCAAGGGCATGTACCCAAGTTGCGGGCACATCCCCAATAGGGGTTGTGCAAGAGGCAGCTGTTGATGTTTCTCTCTCATCGATGTTTCTAGCTCTCTATCCCTCTCCCTTCCTCTCTGTAAAAAATCAATAAAATATATTTTTAAAAAAATTAAAAAAAAATAAAAATAAAAATCTGCTCTGTCTAATCCTTTGTTCCCCTTTCAGCTTGAAGCTGTTCAAGCCTGGCCAGGAAGGTGTGAAATACCAAGGTCCCCGGGACTTGCAGGCGCTGGAAAACTGGATGCTGCAGACACTGAACGAGGAGCCTGCGGTGAGTGCACTGAGTGCCCGCTCTCCCTCTCTTTCTTCCTACATTTTGGGGTAATACAGAGGCCAGTTTAGGTGAAGAGTTAAGGATACTATTTTCAGACTGCTTTTTACTTTTTTAGGATTCATTGATATAAGATTAACTTTTTTTCCTTCTCAGTTTTTTTATTGTGTTAAAAAACACAACAGAAAACATACTATCTTCACTGTTTTAAATGTACATGTTAATGGCATTAAATACATGCATAATGTTGTGCAAATATCACCACCCTCCGTCTCCTGAACTCTCTTCATCTCTAAGACAGAAACACTGTACAATTAAACACTAACTCCCGAGCTCCCTTCCCTCCAACCCCTGACAACCACCAATTCTCCTTTTTGTCTCTATGATTTTTAACTCTCTCTCTTTTTTTAAATATATTTTATTATTTTTTTACAGAGAGGAAGGGAGAGGGATAGAAACTTAGAAACATCGATGAGAGAGGGACATCGATCAGCTGCTTCCTGTACACCCCCCACTGGGGATGTGCCTGCAACCAAGGTACATGCCCTTGACTGGAATCGAACCCTGGGACCCTTCAGCCACAGGCCGACGCTCTATCCACTGAGCCAAACCAGTCTTGGCTCTATGATTTTAACTCTTAAGTACTTATGTAAGTGGAAAAGATTAGCTTTTTAAAAACTTTTTTTAAAATATATTTTTTTGATTTTTCACAGAGAGGAAGAGAGAGGGATAGAGAGTCTGCAGGTCAACGCTCTATCCACTGAGCCAAACTGGTTTCAGCTTAAAAACTTTTTATTGTGGAAATATCCAAACATGTACAAAAGTAGAAAGAAGAGTCTAGTGCCATGATGTCCATCCCGTGTGCCACAAGAATCTTTAAAACATGCAACACTTAACTCTCCAGTAGTTAGCTCTGTGTGCCACGAATTGAAAAAGGCTGAAAACCGCTGGCCCAGTGAACGATGTCTGAGTGAGGAGGAGGTTAATGAAGATGGTCCCTGTGTCCATCCCCCACTTCAACAAGTATCCCAGAGTGTGAATCCTTCTTTTCTTCTTAACCCTCAGTCTGTAAGACCCTATTGGCTTTGCTGATAACATAACGTAATATTCTTAAAACTTTCAGTGTCTTAATTTCCTCTGTACACTAAGGGTGATACCAGGAAGTCATAGAAACTGGATGATTTCTGAGATTATTTTTTAAAGTCATCGCTGTGTGTAGAATGTTCCTTACTATAAAAAAAATTTACAATCCTCTCCTCTTTGACGTTGGGAGTCTTAATTTTTTTATGAGTCATTGTGATTGTAAGTCATTCTTTATGTGTCCCTTCTAGTGTGGTGCTGACTGCTCAATCTTCAGAGGCGTGGGGGGCTTTGGTGGTCTGTGATGTTGAATTGGTGAGGGGCTGGAAAGGTGGCCAGTATTCCCGTGCTGGATGTTTCTGGCGAAACATTTTAAGAGCAGTTGAAGTCTTTGAATGTAATTTCAATTTAAACCCTTAACTTAGACTACTTTATTGTATCAGATAGGTGTTCACAGATTTAAAGGTTGGTTGTGCTCATGTGCAATTCCAGTCTTTGGGGGGCTCAGCTGCTACTGCTGTCATTTTCCAGGGTGTCTGTGTGGTCCTTCATGACGTGTCTCTTTGAGTGTGGTGCCGACTGTCAGTCCCCAGAGGCTCCGGGGACTTTGATGCTTCCTATATGCACCTTTTATCTCACACCTCATAGTCTATGAGTATACGGTGAACAATGCTGGGATGTGGCATTGAATAAGTTGACCAGAGGCTTGTCTAACTTAAGTAACATGGGAAACCACAAACCTCACAGAGAGTAATTTGCATCTCCATCTTGGCAAGAGAACTGGGTGAGCCAGGTGCAACTTTCATGTAGGTTTTAGCTTCAGATTGTTTTCTTTTGTGAAAATGTTCTCTGATGGGGGAAGCTAATTTTAAAGAGGAGCAAATAGTTTCGAAAAAAACTTTTAAAATAAACTTTTCACACAAAACCCTCCCCACAGTCTTCTATGTTGACATTATTTGAGAAACCTGCAGCCAGTATCAGGATGGCAGAGAGGCTCATCTGTGGGCCAGAGAGCGTCCCGCTCATGGGGGACAGCCATGTGCAGGCTGGGAGGGCCGTGCGTGGGGCCAGGGCCAGGTTCAGCGTAGATGTCCTGAGAAGCAGCGTCTTGTCTCTGTGTGGGAGGGCACGGTGCATGGAATCCACCCATCACCACCCTAGAACCACAGTTAACCCAATGGCCATGTCTTAGTACCTCAGAGCAATAGGGATCTCAGCCAATTGCTAGAAACAATGACTGAGCCTTACTGTAGAAAAGCTCATATATTCAAACTTTATATTGCAATCTGAAAACCTTTTCAATTTGAACTTTGCTGTTTATTATAAACAAAAACTTTTAAAAAAGTTATCTACATTTATATCTATGTAACTAGATATATACATTTTTATATTTAGACAGGATAAATTTAGATCTCCCCCGCTCCCCCGTGAGTGAATGGCAATATTAAAGAAACTCAAAGAAACCATTTCTTACAGTCTACCCCAATTTTTACATTTCCATGTTTACATCTGTATTAAACAGTTATAATCATATGAACATAGTTCATTTCATGAATGATCTTATATAGTGATATTGTCTGATCACATATCATGACAATGGATATTGAGTTATTTATAATTTTCTGTTATCAGAAATGCTCCAAGGAACCTATTTATAAAGGACATTTTTTTCTACCTCTCAAGGATGTGTTTAGAATATATTCCCAGACATAAAATAGTAGTAAATAAATAAATAAATAAATAAATAAATAAATGCAAGACCACTTTTATTGCTCTTGATCAATATTGGCAGATTGCTTTCTTAAGAATCTAGAGTGGGAAAATACATGGTGTCTGGCAGGACCTAGAGGGTGTGAGTGAGTGAGCTCCCAGGTGCCTCTGTGAACCACTGCAAGGCATGAGTGGTTCAACTAAGGACACAGGTCTCCTACAGCAGAAGCTGGATCTTACACCTTCCCGCTACCAGCATCTGGTCTCCACGGTCTCACTGCTCCAGCACGCAGGCCCCAGTGGACACTTCCTGGGTGACACTGTAAGCTGCTGGTGGGCATGTGTGTACCCAATCAAGGGCTCATGAAGCAGAAACTGTGATGTTCCCTTCCCCAGCGGCCCGCATCTGGACACCACAATACACCACAATCGCACCGCTCCAGCATATGGGCCCCACAAGCAGACAGCGCCTGTGCCCCTCTGCGAGCTGCCACAGGCGCATGCCTCCACAACCAAGGGCCCACAGCCTTCTCAGAAGGATCCACGAATTCCCCCTCCTGACTGCCTGCTTCTGAATACCTTGGTGAGTTACTGAGGATTTGCCTTCCCGGACAAGGTCACACAGCTTTAATCCATAGACACTGAGACTCCCACATCCCCAGCTGCTGGCTCCTGGACTCCCCTTGGCAATTTTCAGAAAGAAATCACTTGGGCCAGAGTCCCACTGCCTCAACTGCAGACTATGGGATAGTTGCTCCCTATGGTCACGGGTTCTAGGACCTCATAGTGAATTGGAGATTGACACTATTTTCAGCAAGAGTCACACAACACTGGCCAAAGTCACAGTACCTGAGCCTCAGGCCCCAATATCCCTTCCCAGGCCATGGACTCCAGGAAATCACAGTGAACACAGACCAGTGGGACCTCAGGCAACCCTTTTCACAAGAGCCAGAACCATGATCACATCCACAGCAGCTTGCACAATAAAACCAGGGATGAGTCACATTTCCTGACAATCCATGGTGAGACTTCATCCACAAATGAGAAATCAACATTCAAAGCCCAAATAGATCAGAAGAACCCAAATAGCACAAGTAGGGGGCTCCACGAGATCACCAAGCTCAGGGGATCTGAGAGACTGCACCACTGGGTCCCCAAAATCATCAATTACATGGAACCACTCCCAAAAGAATCTGGATAGCAAAGCGGTTAGATCTAAGACATAGAAACAATTAAAACAATACAGCAAGCAATAAATAAATAAATAAATAAATAAGGAAAGACAAAAACAAACAAATAAAAAAACAATCCCAAAGGGGGGGGAAAAAATCACCAGAAAAAGAATTAAATGAAATGGAGTCAAGTAACTGGACAGAGAAAGAATTCAGATTAATGGTTATAAGGGTGCTTAAATGTCTGGAAGACAAATACATACAAATCTATGAGAACTATAAGGAGTTGAATGAGAATGTCACCAACATGAAAAGGAATTAAGAGGAGATGAAGAATGACATAGCCGCAATAATAAATACATGGAAGGCTTTAATGGTAGAGTAGTAAAAGCTGAGTACTGCACCAGCAAGCTAGAAGACAGGTAGAAAACACACACACACACACACACACACACACACACACACAAAAAAAAACACAGCAGCAACTAGAAAGAAAACAAATAGGAGGAGAGCCTACGAGAGATTTTGGGACAACATGAAATGAACCAACATCTGCATAATAGGGGTTCCAGAAGGAGAGGAAGCGAAGCAAGGACTAGAAAACCTGTTTGAAGAAATAATAACAGAAAACTTCCCTGATCTTTGGAAGAAAAAAGCCACACAAAGTCCAAGAAGCACATAGAGTCCCAAATAAGATGAACCCAAAAAAGACCGATACCAAGACACATCATAATTAAATTGGCAAACATCAAAAATAAAGAAAGAATCTTAAAGGCTGCCAGAGAGAGACAGAAAGTTACGTACAAGGGATCTCCCATTAGACTATCAAATGCTTTATCAACAGAAACTCACCAGGCCAGAATGGAATGAAATATACAAAGTGATGCAAAGCAAGGGAATGAATCCAAGAATACTATACTTAGCAAGGCTCTCATTCAAAATTGAAGGTGAAATCAGGAGCTTCATAGGCAAGTGTTAAGAGAGTTTATCCATGCCAGCAATGCAAGAAATGCTGAAAGGGCTGATGTAAATAGAAGA